ACCTTAGCTGTCGAAGACGAAAAAAAACCACACCATCTCCAGATTTTTGGCTGATTTCTCGATTTCGCGCCAAGGATTACGTGCAATCCACCGGAATGTGTGAATTATCTGGAGCAGCAACGAAAGACGCCGGTCACCGGTTTTATCCCGAACACTTCTAAAACCAAGCAACTGGAACCTGATGGTCCAGCGGTGTGCGACGACGCTTTGTTTTCGTGAAGCGTGAAACGAAAAAACGAGGTGTGCTTTTTGAGCTTAGATTAGTGCCCAGATCTACCATGCGCATCAAGCTCCCTGCGAAGGCTAAAAAAATTTTTAATTACCTTTCATAACAAAGGATTACTCACTCGCCCTCGATGATTCATCGTACCTTCGACGCGATTAATAAGTGCGATGCATCAAATCCCGTCGTCGGTCTTTTTATGGGAATGGGAGTGCTTCATGGCAAAAACGGTAAAAACGCTTAACATACGTCGCTATGCAGTTTGCACATATTATGTGGCTGACCGACGCCAACGTTTCGTATCTTTGGGCCTTCTTAAAGGCAAAGCATTTTATGCAATTAAACAGAGCTTTTCCAAAACCGGATTTCTTAGCGCGATATATCATTGGTCTTATGTGACATTTTGGCAGATAATCTCTCCCTGGCACTAAAGTACCTACATTACTATATAAAGCTTAAATCACTTAATTCGCTACAGTAATATCCTGCTCATCAACAATCATGTTAAATGCCCCATGGAATTTCACTGGTGTCATAAAAAGCTGGAACCATCAGTTCTACCGTTAATTGCATAAATCTGAAATGGAATAATAATGTTTTACACACTTCAGGCAGTCGGCTTTCGTCAGTTATGGTGTTATGGACAAAGGGATACAATCAACACGAGAAAAGGCTACAAGCAGAGGCGGCAGTCACATTGGCCGCCCTTCTGAATCATGCGCACTCATGTAAATAAGTAAACACATCTGTTTTTGCGCCGCTATGCAAAACGCTTCGAATCAGTGCGAGTGGTAGATTTGTATTCACTGTTTCAAAAGAAACGCCAGCTCCTTTTCACCGCCTGGGAGGCATGATACCTCAGAAATATCATTTTGGCATTATACCTAAAAAATATCATATTGTTTTCAAATATAAATGAGCTTTCCTTAGAATGCCGTGTCTTCACATACATGGAGTCGGTTCTTAACATTTCTGGCATGTCTGCGCTTGAGCTATCCAGCAAATCGTTATGATTCTCCAGCCATTTATAAATTATATACAAGTCATCTTACGATATATAATCTGTCATTTTCATTAATTGACTGAGTAAGGGCATAAGTTCTCAAGGACCAGATTTTACAGGATGTTGCACCACCCCTTGTTCTTAGTTATCAAGGGTATGGTTTAAGCGGGCTACAGCTTCGTTATATATAAACATGTGCAGTGCAAGATGCGTTTTGCATCATTTTGACGAAGTTCTTATGTTGTGCTCACAGAGAGCTTTCGATAGATGCATAACCGAGGGATGAAATCCGGTAATTGATGCAGATGATGACGTGGAGGTAAACTATGACTTCTGATTAGATGACTGCGCGTTGACTTAGCCTCCTCGCGCAGTCACCACGATGGAATCGTAAAATAAAACGAAAAACATCGACACTCATGTCTGACAACTGCATTGCATGTTACTCACAGAGGGATTTCGATTGAGAGGCAGCGTGAGGTTGAATAACTGATGCAGATGACCATTGGCCAACGATGTAAATTGAACCTTGTGACCGCAAGACTGCGTGTTGACCCACTGACATACCACATTCGTCACAATGGAATTGTAATAAAAGACTCGTTGTTTTGACAACGGCATCGCACTTCCTCAAAGGGACTGATAAAAAGCATAATAAGCGGAATCACACAGTTGATGCAGCTGACCACTGTCCAGTCATACACATTAATAGCGGTGATTTCAAGATGGAGCGACAACATGTAGCGGTCTACGCCCCAACGACTTGCGCCAAAACGTAATAGACCGCCGACAGGTCACTTTCTAAAAGAGGTCGAATTATCTCCGAAGTAAATACTACTTGAGAATCCGTGTTGACAGCTGTGCTTTAAAGAAACTGATTACGCAGATGACGTCATCGTCCTAGATCTTTCTCCACAGCTCCTGTGGTCCAACCATTCCCTTAGTTTTTAATGATGGTTCAATGAACTGGACCTGAAAACATGTTCGCAGCACAAATAACGTGAAAAGGAAAGCAGCGGCTGAAATGCTCAGGTGGGCGGTCAAGCCGTTTGAACAATCAAGCAATACTGATAGCTCGAAAATTCACAAAATTTATTTGAACGCTGCAGACCCGTCATCTCAGTCCCGTGCTTGAGTCCTGAGCATCAATACGAATGTACGATCACGGAAAGCCATGTCAGTTGTGTCAAAACACATCCCCTTCAAACTTGCATTTTGCCCCTGCTGGAACCCGGGCACTCCCGAAGGTGAACTGAAGCAATCTTCTGGCCTATAGCACGAAAAATCAAAGCCGGCTGTTCAATATCAAACTATATAATTCCGTTCCAAACGCAGTCTCAGAACTCATGCTACCATGCTCCATCACTCAAGTGATCGTCGCAGAGTGCCCTGTCCGGTCCTGAAGCAAAGCCATTTACAGGGGTTCCTGCTATATTGCCTTCGCACCAGAGTCCGATTATCGCCTTCATTGTGGTAAGCAGGCCACTAGACAAATGAACGAAGCCACACCTCCCCCCCTCATCATGAAACTGTTCAACACTACCATCTCTAGAGCTGGTCGTTCGTTAAGGCAACTGTCTGAATGTCAACGGCGATGACTCTAATGATACATATTACTAAAGGTATGTCTGGAAAGACAAGTTTTGAGGGTATGATAATCATTCGGTCGATCGTTTTTGAGTTCATGGCATGTCTTCACAGCTATCGTAGTGGCATTAGAGCACTTATGCATGGTACGTGAATATCCAGTACGTCGGTTGATCCTCACTATTACTGCGAGTAATTTTTGATAAGCTTGAACTGTTATATAAAACGAACATTAGAAATTTCGTTGTTTCACAAGTTCTGAATCAGTGGTGTGAGGCGTGTAAAAAATACTTATTTTCATTGCCTTGAACTACAAGGTACCTAGTACAACACGTTAAGGACTTTAACAGTGCTGATGACGAAGTCTTACCGGCCAGCAGCGACTTTCACTCATTAGCTAAGCGGTGTGACAACTAAAGACAAAAGTTAGCCTCAAGCTAGCTGAACGCTACGAAGACAAAGGGACGGGGCTGAGAAATCCGTATGGAACAGTGGAACGGAAAGTATGACATGGAGGTAACATCATCGAAAAAGACCGACAGTTTAAATACCTCTGTGTACTTTCCTGAGCGATGGCAGCTGTGCTCAAAACCTAGACATGATGACCATAGCTGATTTGCGTTTACGTTCACAAGTACGGGGAACATCTGGGCTGAAAGAGAATTAGTTTAGAATAAGATAACGCTTCATCGCATTGCTGTGAGGGGTCAGGAGATTTTTCTGCAGAGACTGGGAGCAGCAACAAGACTACAGCATTGATTGAGCAGCGTTAAACAATGTTCACTGTGAAGCATGCTAAGGATCCACTTTGCCACCATAAGAGGAGAATGGCTAGAGTATTGCATTGACTGACCTCATCGAAATGTTGGAGGTGAACAGAGAGAGACGGTTGGTATGGCTCGATCAACTACAAACAAATGACTAAGCCTCACTCTCAGCTGCTGAAATGAGATCCGGCTATGATTCAGTGACCAACACACCTCGTTTCAGACGAAATTAAGCACAGTTACGATGTCGATGAGGAATCTTTCCTTGGTCTGCGCAGGGAAGAGCTCAAAATAACAAAATGGAAAATATTTAGATGGGGGGGGGGGCATCGCAAATCTTATG